CATCGCCTTCTGCGAAATGTTTGCGGTCGTCTATGTGTACGGCGTGGACAGGTAGGAAGGAGGCTGCAGAGGCAGGAGGCTCCCGACAGGGGCAAGCAGGGTGGCACTCAGGGACAAGCGCGCCGTGATACGGGGCCGCGTGTGCACTGGGCCTGGCTCCTGCGCGGCTGAGGGCAGAGGGATGGGTCCCGGACCGATGCCCGCCAGAGCAGTCCGAACGGTGCTCCCTCCAGCTTCCCGAAGCTTCCAGACCTGGCAGACATGGGCACTCACAGGCCGTGCAGTCTTAGGGGTGGAGGAGAGCAAACAGCAACCACGAAGGGAAGTACAGACCCCCTGGTCTGACCACAGGATTTAGAGTCGTAACCCAAGACGAGGAGGTGAAGCACTATTGTGTCCCACGCAGGCGGCCTGAGACACGGGAACATGGGACCAGGAGGGGCAGAGCGGTCCCAGGGGCTGGGGTGCGGGCAGCGGACGTGAGGGCCGGGCATGGACAGGGCAGGGGCTCCTGCTGCGGGGATCAAGGCTGCCCCGTGGGGCCCCGGGGAGGCCACCAGCCCTGGGGGAGGGGAGATCTGCCAGGGAGGCTGGGACGGGGCTGCCGGTCGGGCTGCCCTCCACCCCCAGCAGCACGGACCCTGGCTCTGCGTGAGCCCCCGGGGCGAGTTGACAGGCTGGTGGCACCGTGGGGCAGCAGAGGGTGCCGCCGGCCTCCCGAGCCGGCTTCTGACGCAAACCAGGCTCTTCTGGAGGCGGCGGGTCTCCGGTCAGAGAAAGACTGGGCTGTGGCACCATGGACGGTGACATCTGTCTGGGCTGGACGGCCAGCTACCCTCTGCCTTGACAGGATCACAGGCCTATCAACGCCCCCAGTGATGGCCTCCTTCCTGCCCTGTGTCCAGGTTCAACAGAGACATTGAGTTCATGATTGGCCACAAGCCCAACATCTTCTGGCAAGTCACGTGGAGAGTGATCAGCCCACTGCTCATGCTGGTCATCTTCCTGTTTTTCTTCGTGGTCAAGGTCAAAGAGGAGCTGATATACAGCGTCTGGGACCCTGCCTATGTGAGCCATGGGGCTGCCGCGGAGGCGCAGTGGGGCATTGTGCTCCCTGCGGGGTTGGGGACCCTGGGGTGTCCTTCCCCTCCCCCACAAGGGCCAGGCGGTGACCCACAGGGGAGTGGCATCTGCCTGAGGGAGACCCCGCAGGCTGCATACGTGGCTGCTCACCACCGCTCTCTCCCCAGGAGGAATTTCCCAAATCCCAGAAGGTCACCTATCCGGGCTGGGTGTACGCTGTGGTCGTCATCGTGGCTGGGATGCCCTGCCTGGCCATCCCTGGCTTTGCCATCTACAAGCTCCTCAGGGACCGCTGCCAGAGGCCAGGGGACCGCCAGGGGCTGGTCAGCGGGCCGTCCATGGCCTCCATCAACGGGGACCTGAAGTCCTGAGCGGCCCGGCCCAGCACGTGTCAGGGAGGATCTGGGCCATACGTGTGAGAGTGTGTGCATGTGTGCATGTGTGGGTGTGTATGTTGTGCAAGCGCTTGCATGCGTATGTGTATATACATGCGTGGGGGTGTGTGTGCACATGTGAGTGTATGCACGTGTGTTTATGTATACTGTTTGTGCACACGCGAGTGCATACATGTGCGAGCGTGTACATACATGAACGCACCGTGTACGTGTGCAGTGTGAGTGTGCGTGTGTGCACGTGTGTAAGTATGTGTGCATGTGAGTGTGCACTGCGTAAGTGTGTGTGCGTGCGCACACGTGTGTAAGTATGTGTGCACTGCGTAAGTGTGTATGTGTGCGCGTGTGCACACGTGTGTATGTGTACTGTGTGCATGTGTGCACACACGTGTGTAAGTATGTGCGTGCAGTGCATAAGTGTATATGTGTGTGCATGCATGAGTGTGTGTACGTGTGCAAGTGTGTATGCGTGTGAGCGCACGGAAGCGTGCGTGTGCATGTGTGTGCTCATGTCCGAGGATGTGTGCACACGTGCACGAGGACTCGGTGGGCGTGTGCGTACATGTGCGGTGTGCATGACTGTGGTGTGTGTGTTGTATAGACATGTTGGGTGCCTGTGTTTGTGCACACATGTCTGCACACAGCCCCGGTGCCCTGCTGCTTGCCCTTGTCATGGGCGTGGTGGGGGCCACAGCAGCCTGGGTCCCACCACGCCCGCACATGCCGGGGGACGGTCGCAGCCGCGGCGTAGTGGGGAGCCCGGCCCGTGGGAGGCGGGAGCGTGATGCTCCCTTGGCCCCTCAGATCCAGTCTGATCGCCACCTGCCCTTCGCCTTGCTGTCAACCCTTGACTCAGGAGCTCACAGTAAGGCCGGGGCCCTGGTGCCCACGATGAGGACTGGCCTTTTCGAGCCCCTAGGCCGTGAGCTCTGGAAGACTCTGCGGCGTCCCTCAGGCCCGGCCGCCCGCCTGCTGGCCTTGGCGGGATGCCGGCTCAGTGGGAGCCAACCCGATTAATCATTGCTTCTGGCCGCTGCGATGAGCAGTTAGACAAAACTCAGCTCAGCCTAAGTTAAGGCGGAAACCACCCTTTGAGTTTTCTTAAGAGGGCATATTCACTGCATGAATTGTTAGCTAGGTGTTGGAGAAGGCAGGTTATAGGGTAACTCGGCCACAGCCACCAAGGTTGAGGACAATCCGTGCGTCCCGAGCATGGCAGGGATCCGGAAGCCCATCCACTCGGTGCCCCTTGGTGAAGGGTTGTTTACCGGGATTCGACAATCTCGGCCAAGTCACTTGACACATGGGGTGGTTATTTTAATGAGCTCACGTCCACTCTCCCTGGAAAAATCTGGAAGTTTACATTGAACTGGACTTTCTGAGCATCTGCTGGGCAGGGGTGGGGACCTGGGTGGAGGGTGGATCCCGGAGCCATGTACCCCCTACTCAGATGCCCGAGGGCCCTGTCCCCATCCCACTGCCTCCTGTCCCGCAGTGACACAGAGTTCAGCCCTGCAGCCCCACACTGAACCTTCAACACCAGTATGTCCAGTCCTCTTATGCCGCCGGTCACCTAGATGCCATGACCTACAGAAACTTCAGGGGGCTCACAGCCCACCATGCAGGGCCATGATGGCATGTACCTGCCGGGGGCCCCCCGTCCCACCCCACTCCAACCTCCACCCTCCTCTGAAAGCTTTCCCACCCCCACTAAGAGAACACTGAGCAGCCCCCCATGGATACACCACACCATCCTGGGCATGTGGGGAGGAGACTGGCGGGTGTGGCCCAGGGGGACTCATCCAGTCCTTCTGTCCCCTGACGGGCACCTTGTTTTGCAGATGTGGCATATTTGCAAGTTGTTGGAAATGCGTGATTTGTAGGCATAATGTGTACCTGTCTTAATAAATCACTATTTCATAGTCTTGTCCTAAATGTTGTCTAAATGCAGAGGGATGAGCAAACAGCGGGGCCCCACTCAGGGCATCGCGGGACCGCGGTTCTGGTTGGGGGGGATGATTTTCTCTGGAGAAGTCATGAGGCCAAGTGGCTGTGTCCGCGGAGCCCTGGGCATGGCGTGTGGCCCTGCGAAGGGCAGGTGGTGGGCAGGCCTTAGGCTCAGGACCGTGGTGCCCTGGTGAGGTCAGGTTGGCTGGGCTGGGGGCCACACTCCTGCCCTCCCAGCCTTCCCCCTCCCTTTCTCACATTCCCTCCCCCCCAGTAGAGTCAGTGGGAGTGTGTCCACCAGGACCCACACCTCTGCGACCCACATATCTGGGCCTGTGTGAGACCAGCATCCCGGGAAGTGGGAATTTCCCATCTGGAGCCCCAGCCTGTCCTGGAAGCATCCACCGGGCATCCACGGGTCCAAGAGCCCCACGGGAGACCCAGGCTGAGTCCACTGAGTCAGCCCATCGCGCTCCATCCCACTGCAGGAGGAGCCCACGTGGAGGGGACCATTCGGACGTCCCCCAGCCTGGCTGAGCTCCCCCCCGCCGTGGCCCTGGATGTCACGCTGTCCCACCCGCTGCCTCAGGGTGTCAGTGGCTGCTGGGGGGGAAGAGAAGAAGTCCTCCCACTCCTGCCCCTGCCCCGCCCCACCAGGGGAGCCCCTCTGGGACACAGGCCCCCGCCCTGCACGTGGTGGGTGCTGGTGGGGGCTGGGCTGAGTGCCACCCCCGCAGGTGCCGCAGGATGCAGGGGTGAGGGGGGATTTCCCCAGAAGAGAGTGCCACCGGCCGGAGGGTCACACTCAACCTCTGAAGACCAAACGTGGCTGAGACACGAACACCCACACCCCAGCGCACCGGGTCCCTCCCCAGGCACTAGCTGTCCTCCGCTGTGGGGTGAACCCACTGTGTGCCTCCACGGCTGGGTCACTGGGGAACACGGCTGAGAGGAGCAGGCCCACCTGAGGTCACACACGGGGACTCTGCTTACGGAACGTTCTAGAAAGGACAGAAGGGTAGCGACAGAGAACAGATGGGACGCGGGCGGGGCAGGAGGGGCAGGAGCTGAGGGGGCGGGTGTGGCCATGAAGGGGACAGAAGGGACCCTCCCTGCGATGGACATGTGCCGAACTGGCCTATTACCCCAGCATCCCCGCTGTGACATGGCCGAGATATTTGCAAGACGCCGCCGCTGCGGGAACGGGCGAGGACGCAGGGCTCTGCGTCACTCCTCACAGCGACAGGGGAGTCTACAGAATCAGAAGGTTGATTAGAAGATCAATGGTTTTTATAAAAGAGCTAAACGAGCTGCGGTCTTAGGAGTCCTGGCGCGTCCCCCCCGGGGAACAGGAGGCCCCTGGCCGTCTGCCTCGGGCACGAAATAAGGTGCGGGCAGAGGACGTGGGGTCAGGAAGGGACCGCCTGGGGGAGAGCAAGAGCCTGGCCCGAGTTATCAATTAACTGGCTCCACTGGTTTTCCTTTAAATAATGAGAAGGTACAGGAGGGGACTACTCGGGGCTCCCACACGGAGGTCCAGGGGGTTCCATGGAGCCCGGGCAGGAGCCAGCGGTGGGCATGGCGTGCGCCGGGGGAGCGGAGCCGTGTGGGGACGGCCGCGGGGACGAGAGGCCGGCGTGGGACAACAAGGGGCAGTACCTGCTGAGCTGCATCGGCTTCGCCGTGGGCCTGGGCAACATCTGGAGGTTTCCGTACCTGTGTCAGACCTATGGCGGAGGTGAGCCGCCCCCACGGCCCTGCACGTTATTGATCCCCGCGACCCGGGGAGCCTGTGTAGTGGAGGTCCAGCCCACTGCCGTCCGGCCTTCTGGGGCTCAGGGGAGCTCTTCACCGCAGTTTGTGGGGTGCTCCCGGGCCAGGCCGTCTACCCCCCATCTGTGCCCGGTCAGGGCACCCCCTCCCTTCACAAGAGTCCATGGTGGTGCCTGGCAAGCCAGCCCCACCCGTCGCCTGCAACCCTGGGGAGGGGACACCGAATGTCACCCAGGCTAGGCCGGTCCTTTTCTGGGGTGTGACCTTGGGGCCCGTCGGGTCTCAGTGTCAGGTCAGCTTGCCGTCAAGCCCCCCCTCTGTAGACGTAAGACCTGAGGCCCCCAGAAGCCCTCCAGGGCAATCCTGCATCCACCGGGCCCCTGGCTGGAAATGTGGGGGTGATTCCTCTGGCTCCCACCAGGAACAGGGCAGAAACGAAGGTCTGTGTGTGGCTGATGGGGCGTCGTCCTGGCCCCTTTCCCTCCTGGCCGTGCTGGGTGGACAGCGGTCAGGCCGCGTCGGGGGAGTGCGGGCTGGGGGTCTGCGGGACCTGCTGTAGAGCAGACCAGGCGAGGGCAGCGCTGGGGTGGCGTCCCTGTTCATGAGGAACCTGCTTCCTGGAAGTTTGTTGTTTTTTCCTGATTATAAGCAGCTGGAGGAGACGTCTCTCCAGGAACTGCTGCCCAGAGGCGTCAGAGCCCCCACGGGGTTGGGGCTGGGCGGGCACGTGGGCCTTGGGTTGCTCCCCGGGCCCCCAAGCTGCCCTGTGCATCAGGAGAGGCATGTGCGGGCGCCAAGTGGTGGCCCGCGTGCTGGTGGTCACTCCAGGTCAGGAAAGGCTGCTCTGACCGGAGCCGGTTGGCCGTCGCTCCTCACTGCGATGCGCCGGACTGTCCCGGGAACGTCACTTCTGGAACCCATGTGCCAGCGCTGCCTGGCCCGAGGGCCTCCGGACCAGCCCGTCACACCTGTGCTCATGGGCTGGGGGGACCCCTGCTGTTTAAATACTTCTTTTAGGCCCTGTTTCCAGGTGTGAAGTCCTTCATGAAATGTCATGAAATAGTCAAGTTTCAAAACTCACACTTTTCCTAAACAAGCACCCCTCACGTGTGAGAACAACCTTTTTGTCTCATGTCGACCACCCTGATTATTCGATAACAAGATGAGCAGATAACCGATTGCATTTTTATTCTGCACAAACTCATGACCCTGACGGTGAATATTCTCTCTGTCCTTAGTGATTACTCAGGTCTGTGGGCTTCTCTCTAAGGATAAGACTTAAAGGCAACATTGTAACAGAATTGGGGGGAACACTCAGGTGCACCTGCAGGGTATTCTGTCACCTCTACGCAGCTTCTGGGTGAGTGTCCGCGCCCGCGGTCAGGGCGTGGACCCTACCAGCGGCCGGCACACGGGCACCCAGGGACCTCCAGGCACCTGTTGGGGTCTACAGTTCCGGCCCGGGAATCATTCACAACCATGTCCATGGCAACACATGTGGGGCATCTAGTGAGCGGCCCACGATCTCCGCACGGCCGTGTTGCGACCTCAGGACCCATGGGCTCTGTGGAGACGGCAGAGCCGTGCATGGACGTGATGACCCTAGTCTGACAGTCAGTGCAGATGTTCCTCCCGCGGGGCGAGTCTCCCACTCCTCTCCTGGCCCGGTTCTGTGTCAGCCATCGCCATCCCCTGCAGACTTCACAGCCAGGCTGTCAATTCTACAGAGGACTCTCACGGTTTCACGGGCATCGCGTGGCATTTCTAGATTGTCTGGGGACAAATGTCCACTTGGCAACACCAAGTCATCCCATCCGCAGAGACAGCTTATCGGGCACCTGCCCTGGTCTTCTCTGTCCTTCGTTTTCTCTCCGGGACAACCTCAGGGTGTCTCGTTCTGTGGATTCTCAGCAGTGCCGGGCTCTGCAGCCGTCCCGGTCAGACAGACCCTTTTCTCCATGACATTTTCTCAGCAGAGGGGACCAGTGTGCCTCGCTTCCAGCACCCCTCGGGCCGGTGGTGAGCCGAGGGCTCTCGCAGACCCACCGTGTGGGTGTGTGCGCCCTGATCTCACCACCCCACCTTTCTCCCGAGGAGAAAAAACTCCTCTCATTGTCTGACGCCACACGTGTGAGGGCTTTGCCCACACCAACCAATTCTCCCAATCCCGGCATCATAATTTAACCCATTTCTGCCAATCTACCTGGAGCGAGCACAGACCCCACGGGGCTCAGTCCACAGAGCACTGCAGAACCCAGGCTCAAGCAGCGGGTCTCCACGTTGCCCACAGCTTCCATCTGATTGTGCTACAAGTCAGGAGCGCCAATATCCCCTTCCTCAGTCCAAAATTTGCTAGAAGGGCTCTCAGACCCAGAAACAGTGTGCTTGCCAGGACCGGGCTTTTATAAAGAATACAGCTCCGAAAAGCCATGTGGCAGGGATGCACAGGGTGGGGGTGTCAGAGCCCCCCGCCTCTCTGGGCACCGTGCCCTCCGGCACCTCCTGCGTTCTCCAGCCTGGAAGCTCTCCAAACCCCGTGGCTTACGGTTTTCACGGAGGTTCCATTCTGCAGGCATGGTTGACGGAATCATCAGCTGGGTGATGAGCAGTCTCCAGGCCCTCTCCCCAACCTGGACGTCGAAGTAGAGCTCAAAGTCCCACCTCTCTAATCACAGGGCTGGCTCGTCCTGCAACTGGCGGCCCTCCTCCAAACCGGCTTGGGTTTTATCCAAGTCACGGTCCACACGCAATTTGGATGGGGCTAAAATGCACCTAACACACAGCGATGCTCCTGTGTGGTCTCCATCTGTAATCACAGAGCTCCTCCCTCCTCTTCTCTCCGAAGTGTGGCTGATTCGGCCGCACCAGGTCTGCTACAAGGAGAAACGCCTCTCCCTTCCCCTGGACGGCTCCTCCCGGTGGTCCCTGCCCTGAGCCTGCTGGCTGGGACCTTCCTGCAGAGCATGGGGTCCGTGGGTCCTGGCCGGCCTGGAGCCTGCAGGCCCTTTCTAGACAGTGGGTCAAACACCTGGGACCCAGAGCCCCTGTCTGACGGCCAGGCACCACTTCCGGGGCTGGGCAGCCGGCCCCATGTGTCCTTACCATGCCAAAGGTGTGTGCTCAAGGCCAAGGGTGGTTGGGAGGTGCACACACCTGCCTGAGACCCCACAGTGCGTGTGCGTGTGGGGTGGGACAGGGAGAAGGGCGGGCTGGGGAGGGCTCCTCCATCTGGCCCCTGGGCCCCTGGCCTGTGATTGGCCCCTCTCCCTGCTAGGAGCTCCCTGAAGTGGTCAGGCTGTGTTCACAGCCCCAGCTGCAAGCCCCTGCCCACAGGTGCCTGGTCGTCCCTGGGGCGTCCGGCGCATCCCTCGAGGCCGAGTCTCCCAGGATTCCACGTTGTTATTTCACGCTTCTTTGTGGTTTTGCCGCTACGTGGATGACACCAGCAGGCACTGTTGTGCCCCAAACACTGGTGTCCCGTGCAGACGCTGATGTGGTGGAGTGACTACCGGCCCTCTCCAGGGCTCCGGCTCAGTGTCAACACCTCTGACCGTGATGCAGAAACCCAGGGAGAGGCTAGCCCTCATGGGGGCCGGGCCTGCGCCGGGCCAGCCGAGTCGGGGACACGCAGGAGCACGTTCCCTGACGTGGCCGGCCCTGGCGGGCAGGCAGGGCAGCGGCTGTCGGTCCTGGAGCATCTAGGGCCTGCAGGCCCACACACTGCCGTTAACAGGAAGAAAATGCAGCTCCCGACTGTACCGGGACTCCTTTCCCCCAACAGTATGAGCACACCCACAGTCGCGTGGGATGCGGGAGCCGACATCTCCCCACGGGCGCCCCCAGGCGATCTGGCCGGGCCCCTCGGGGCTGTGGGCCCCTCACTCCTCACACCCGTGGCCTTTTCTCCTGCTCCCGCTGCTGCTAGCTCCCAGTGCAGAAAGGCGTGGTCCTCCCATCGATCCCATGGAGGTGGTCAGTGTGTGCTCCCCTGGGGGACCACGGAGCCTCACCCCACCGCGGCTACGGGTGCCCACCTCCCAGCATCTGGACGCTGATTCAGGGGCGATGCTCATGCCCAGGCACGGAGAGACGGGTCCCAGCCCCCACTCAGGCACAAAGCTCGAGAGACCATTTCAAAGGTCCACCTTCTCCAACATCCTGCCAGGAGCACAGACCAGCCCCACGTCACAGGAGGGCCCATAATCGGGATGAGGGGTGTCCCCGAAGGAACACCACTGCTTGCTGTTGCATGAAACCTGCCCCCAAAGCCACACAAGGTGGGATGCTGCCAAGTGATTTGAAAGAGCAGCAGACCAGGTGCCTGGCGTGCAGGCCCATCTCCCTCGGCCCAAGGCCCCACCAGGCAGCCGTCGACCCTCCGATGACCACTGTGTCTTTGCAGGGGCTTTCCTCATCCCCTACCTCATCGCCTTGGTCCTCGAGGGAATCCCTATCTTCTACATCGAGCTGGCCATCGGCCAGCGCCTACGGAGAGGCAGCATCGGGGTGTGGACGGCCATCTCGCCCTACCTGGGCGGAGTGGGTAGGCTGCCTGCCTCTGACCCCTGCCCGGAGCTGTTGGGAGGGTGGGGGGCTGCAGGTCCCGTGTGTGCCATGGATCAGCTCGTCACTCCAGTGCACATTCCGTGGCTTTGACCCTATAGGAGAGGGGTCCAGACCTAATAGCGCAGGGAGATGCGTGGGGCAGCGTCCCTGCGGGAGCTAAGTCTGCTCATGCTCTGAGTACTCGTCTTCCAGGAGGCCCTGTTTGGTTCCCCCAAAGCCCAAGGAGGGACCTGGGTGCAGGGTGCTGCGTGGGGTGAGCTCAGGGTGCAGGAGGTGGCGGCAGGCCCAGCCCCACGGAGCAGCAAGCTGTCCCAGATCACCCGGGGACTATGTCCCCTCGGGCGCCGAGCCCACACATCCTGGGAGCTTGAGAGTGTCCAGGGAGTCCTGGACAGAGGGCAGGCCTGACACCTGGAGTGCCCGTGAGGTGGGTGCTGCAGGGAGGGGTCCAAGCGGCCCCTCTGGCAGTGTGACACGTCCCACAAGGTGGCTACAGCACTGTCCGTGAGGCCCACCAGGAAGCCAGTGGAGAGGCAGACCCTAGCCCAGCTGAGGATGGGGCCCCAGGGCCGTGAAAACGATGCATCGCCCTCGGGTGCATGCGGCCAGATGTGGGCCAGCAGTGGGGCAGGCAGCGGGAGGCCTCGGGGATGACAGGGAGCAGGAGTGGGGTGCTTGTGTCTGGAGCCCTGCTGCCAGGGAGGCGGGGAAGCCGCTGACTGCCACCTCCCCACAGGGCTGGGCTGCCTCACCGTGTCCTTCCTGGTCAGTCTGTACTACAACACTGTCCTGACGTGGGTGCTGTGGTACTTGCTCAACTCCTTCCAGTACCCGCTCCCCTGGAGCTCCTGCCCACTGGACCTCAACCGCACAGGTAGTGCTGGGGGGGCGTGAGGCTCAGCGCCCTGCCTCACGCGGGCGCTGCATGGGCTCCCTAAACAGCATGTCTGAAGTCCTGTTCCCCTTACCCCATCGTATCTGACCACCGATGGGCCCCCAGAGACTCCGTGCATTCACAGCCCAGCCGCGAGCAGGCATGCCCAGCGACAAGAGGCTGAGTGGGCGGGACGGCGGTTTTCGCTGGACTCGGCGCAGCCCTCAGCCATGCACTCCAGCAGAGAAGGTCCTCGCAGCCCAGGAAACAGTCACTCTTTTACACTGGCTCATGAAGCTGTGTTAACCCTCCTTCCCTTCCTGCCTCTGCTGATACTAACTTGAGCTTGGCCTGTTCTGAACGAGGCAGCCCAGGCGCAAGTCCGGGCCCAGAGGCTCCCCGCATCTGCCCACCAGCCCTGGCTGCACGCCCTGGGCCGTGGGGGGCTGGGTCCCGCCAGGTGTGCCTAGTGCTCCGGCAGCAGCCCTGGTCAGCTATCCGCAGACTGCAGTCCGGGGTGGAGGCCTGTGAGCCCACATCCAGGCCCGAGCCCTGTGCCAGCCCCTGACAGACCCTCCTGGCTCCAGGGTTGGAAGCCGAGTGCCAGGCCAGCAGCCCCGTGAGCTACTTCTGGTACCGGCAGACGCTGAACATCACGGCGGACATCAGCGACAACGGCTCCATCCAGTGGCCGCTGCTGGCCTGCTTGGCCGCGTCCTGGGCAGTCGTGTACCTGTGTGTCATCAGAAGCATCGAAAGCCTGGGGAAGGTGAGGCCCCTCGGGTGGATCCCACCACCCGGCTGCCGCCGGCTCGGTGTTTGCCCACGGGCTCAGAGGCTGGGCTGGGAGGGTGCGGGCGTGAGGACCAGTGTGCTCCCTGGAGATGGGCACCTTTACCTGGCAGCGCTCTGCTCAGACGCTGCCGGGAGGTTTTCTCTGTTCTTTTCCTTTTACCCTTTTTGGGTCTCTGTGTTTAAAGTGTGTTTCTCGTAGACGCACACAGTTGGATCTTGCATTTCTATCCAGGCTCAGTCCCTGCCCTTGTTTGGCTGTTTACACTGTTTACATTTAGTGTGATGATTAATCCGGGTTCCGTCGGCCATCCTGTTTGTTTCGTACTGGTCCCCTCTGTTCTCCTGTTTCCTGGGTGTTTCTTGTGACCCCCCTGTATCCACCTGTTGGCTCGTCAGCGGTAACTGTTCTACCCTCAGGGTTGGACGGGGGGCTTGGCCATCGGTCCGTCTGGGAGCAATGCTGCCCCCGGGATGAGGCAGGAGACCCTCACTCACGCTGTGCTGCCTTCCTCCGCTTTCCCACCCCTGGTCACATTTCACTACGACAGTCTGTGAGCAGCAACCATGTCCTGGCATGTTCGTTTTAACAGTTTACTACCTTCTGAAGAGACTTCAGTGATGGGGAGAAATGTGTCAGGTGTTACTCACACGGTTTCTGTGCCAAGTGCCCTCTCTCCTCCTGGGGCACGGACAGGCCCCGCGCTGCGTGCATCCTCCCTTTCAACACCTGCGACACGGCTCCTTGCCTTTCCCTGCCGTGGCTTCCAACACGTGTTTGTGGCCTTTTGCACAGATCCAGGCGTGTGTCTGCTCACTTCCTCTGCTGGCATGTTAGGGTTACTGTTTCGTGAAGGTCTTCGCGCTTGAGAGGACAGAATTACTGAATTACACCAAAGCAAACGTTAGGCCCAACAAGCCACCAGAAATTCCAAATAACCCTGAGATGAAAGTCCTTACAGGGGACCGGGGCGACTCCCCCAACAGTCTGTACTCGGGGACTTGGGGGTGGCAGTGAGGGAAGAGCATCGTCTGCAGATTTATTCTGTGTAGGCACCACGTGTGCAGACCCCTGACCACATCCGACTGAGGAGGGGGTGCTGGTCCTATGCTGGGGAAACGGCTGAGGGCAGGTGTGTGGCCCCAAGGCCCTTGTGAAGTGGCCGGTTGTGGGCACTGGGGTGAGGGGGAGGGCTGGCGGCTGGGTAAGAGGGAGGCCCACCCACCTGGGACGCCCCACAGACACAAGTGCAGACACAGGGGATGCCTGTGAGCATCCCCATGAGCTCCAGACCCTGGGAGCCTGACTGGGGCCCACATGCCCCATGCTGCGCCCTCTGCCCCCACTCAGCTGGAATTCCAGATGAGTGACAGGAGGCTGGCCACAGAGGCCTTTACGACACACCTGCCTCTTAAAGGTTTTATATGGGACAGATACCACTGAAAAGTCTAACAATTTGGTCTTTTTTAAAGGCAATTTATTTCACAGCCCTGTTCCCTTACCTGGTCCTGACCATCTTCCTTATCAGAGGACTCACCCTGCCCGGGGCGGTCAAAGGGTTAATCTACCTGTTCACTCCAGATGTAAGTTGGTTTGAAGTCCAGGCTCCAGGCTCAGGAAACACATGAGTCAGAGGCAGAGCCCAGCCCAGCTTGCTCCATCCCCTGGCCGTGTGAATGGCCATTAGCCAGAGGCCAGGCTGCCCAGGGCCACGTGCGGGTGAGGGCAAGGAGGAGGGTGGTATGGGGTCTCGGGGAGGAGGTCAGGGAGCAGAGGATGGGAGCATGTCACTTGGTTTGTGACATGTAGCCCGAGGGATGTTGCTGGCGGGGTTCAGGGGAGAAGCCAGCTAAAGCCCCCCCCAGATGCCCCCCCAGTGCCCTGCACCCCATACCCCTGAGGGCCTTGCAAGCTGCATGCACCCTACCAGGTAAGGAATCACAGGACCCAAGGGCCCGCACCCCTCCTAGACTCTTGCACACTCCCTAGGACCCTAGCATTCCATGAGAGTTTCCAGGGGCTGCACAGCAGAAGGGAAGGGGGCACTGGGTGTGGACGTGGGTCTGCCCGTAGGCACCGTGTCCCAGCCACCGTGGGACCCTTCAAGTCCCTCAGAACCACCATGTCTGAGAGGAGCAGAAGAAACACACCCAAGTCGCTCAGACCCATTTCTCAGCCCTCAGTGGTCTGTCAGCCAAGTTCTCAGAACGCCACGTGGGTTTACTTAAGCCGTCACAGAACAGCAAGGCCACGCTTGCTGTGTGAACTGCCATTCCAGTCGTGCTCTCTCGTTGGTGATCCTAAGCTGTTCACACCTCTTCATGAGAGTCGTCCCAGAGGAAGCTTTAGGAATGTTCTGGGGCCGTGGGCTCCTCGGCCGGTGTGGCTCATCTGCTGCACAACAGGATTCCGTGTCTTTCCAGGTGCAGATTCTCCAGAACCCGCGGGTGTGGCTGGACGCAGCCACGCAGATATTCTTCTCCCTGTCCCTGGCCTTCGGAGGACACATTGCTTTTGCAAGTTATAACCCGCCTGGGTAGGGACCAGGCTCGGGGGTGGGTTCCTTCCAACGGAGGGGCTGGGCCTCCTGTGCCGAAGCACCTCCAAAGTAACATCCTGTGTGGCCTGGTAGGAACCTGTGATAGGAACAGACTCCTGGGGAGTCTACCAGTTACCCAGCCATGCGCGGAGAGCTGCGGGTAGGGCCCCTACGGCAGCTTCTAGCGTGTTCTGGGGGAAGAGAGCCCGGGCACTCAATTCCAGGAACAGGCCATAACCGGGGACTGACCCCAACCAACAGGAAGCATGTGTCATGCACAAGGCCGGAAAAGCAGCGTGTATCAGCTCCCTGGTCACCTAAGACGGACACGGGGCTCCCACCTCGCTGCGGGAACCACGCACCTGCCGTGAGAGCCCCAGGGGCTCGGGCACTAAAGTGTCACCCGCCACATCATAAACCAGGCAGCCACAAGCCGTTGGGACCATCTGAACAAACATGGTTCTATATGGTGGCCAGACTTCTCCCCCTCCGAAGTGCAGGGATGGGGAGGTGGGTGGAGCGGGTGCTTCACACGACTGCACCTGACAAGTGACCACCTCAGCCCACTCCACGTAGCTTGTGTGTGTTTCTCGTGTGGAGATCATCTCAGCAAAGCCCACTCCAGGCTCCACGATGCCCCACGTTGTCCTCAGCTCCCTGTGTCCAGGCCTTGGGGGTAGGGGTGGAGGCTGAGGGTTTCAGACCACCCACAGTCTTGAGCTGCGGTGGGCAGGGAGGGGCCTAGTGGGGAGGGGGTCATCAGAGAGGGGGTCTTTGGGGGAGGGGCAAGTGGGGAGGGGGTCAGCAGGGAGAGGTGGTCAGGGAGGGGTCAGAGGGGAAAGGGTCATCAGGGAGGGGGTCTTTGGGGAGGGGGTCAGCAGAGAGGGGTGTTCAGAGAGGAGGGGCTCAGCAGGGAGGTGTGGTCGGGGAGGGCTCAGCGGGGAGGGGGCCATGGAAGGGGGTCCGAGACCATCCTGAGACTAGCGGGGACAGCGCCGGCACTGGGGGTCATCGGCATGCAGGCTCCGTGTGCAGGGGGGTGTGCCAGGGGGGCATGGAGATGACGCTAAGCACGCATGTCTGCCAGGAACAACTGTGAGAAGGATGCGGTGACCATCGCCCTGGTCAACAGTATGACTTCCCTCTATGCATCCATCGCTGTGTTCTCCGTTTTGGGATTCAAGGCAGCCAACGACCATGGGCGTTGCCTGGACAGGTGAGCACGGTGCCCTTGGCTGAGGGTGGGGTGTCCACAGAGCTCAGTCTTCAGACGCTACCTGATGCCCTGGACCTGCACAACCACCTCTTCTTTCCTTAGGGGCGTGGGGGGGGGAGAGTCTCCAGAGGTTCGTGTCCACGCGCAGCCTAGAGCGTGACCCGACGTGGAGGTGGGGTCTCTGGCAGATTCTGGTGAAGATGTCATGCTGATCCAATGTGTCCTGACAAGAGACAGGCAGGGACACGCAGGGACATGGGGGAGGCCATGGGAGGAGGCAGAGGTTGGAGGGACGTGGCCACAGCCCAGGGACTCTGGGGCGCCACGAGCTGGATGAGGCGGGAGGGACCTTCCCTGGAGCCGTGGGGGGGGCGGGGCGTGTGGCCCGGCCGACACCGCTCCCGTGGACTTCTGGCCTCAGAGCTGGGAGAATAAATGTCTGTTTACTTGAAGGCTTTCAGTGTGTGGCCACCTGCCACGACAGCAGGGGCCGCAGAGGCTGTAGGATGCCCTGGCATTTGGAACCACGGTGTTTCAAAGGCCGCCAACTCTTGCTCGCCAAGAGCCCTCCAGAGGCAGTCTGGCAGGTGGACCCGTGGACGGGTGCAGGCTCGGCCCTCTGCATGCTGCCAGGCATCCAGTGCCCAGGGCAGCCCCCTGTCAACCATGACACCTGTGCCAGCCACGCTCAGGCCACGCTCAGGCCACGCTCAGGGCCACGGCCCACAGAGGGCGGAGGGGGAGACGGAGCAGCTTCACAGCCTGAGCTTGGGCGCTGCGGGGCGTGTGCACCCACTGGAATGTTCCGGAGAGGCTGCAGTGCCACGTGGTGGATGGTGTGGCCCCCACTGGGGAGCAGCAGGGGCAGCACTTCCAGCTGTTTCCACCAAGCACTGTGGACAAGTCCGTGCTCACGGTAACAGCTGTGACTTGCGCCTGCACAAGGCTCCCCTGCCGTGGTTTCTCTGCGACCCAGCGCTGGCCGCCACGCGGGCCGGCCACCAGACAGCAGTGCCACGCTGCACCCAGGGGACATTTTAAACAGCAAAATCACCAGCAAACAGCAAAAAACTGCGCACACCGTGGCCCTAAGCTGACTGTAAGGATGCTCGTGACCCTGGGCAGCTCTGCACATGGCCACTGATAACCCCAGGAGCGCCGTGAGTGCTAATTCCGAGGTTGCAAAGAGATTTCAGCAAGTAGGCAAAGTAAGATCCGGGAATACCCACGGGCCTGTGTCTGAGCCGTGAGCCTTGAGGCCAGTGAGCACCTGCTGGTGGCGGCCGGTGGAGGGGTGACCAGGGCCGCTCCCGGGGCGGCCAGGGGGCTGCCACTGCCCCACGGTGCCCTGAGGGCAGCGTCCCCTCCAGGCCGGGCTCCCCTCTGTCCCTGCGGCGAGTGCTGTCCGGCCCTCCGGAGGGTGCTGGTGTCCTTCTGGGTGTTTCAGGGTGCAGCGCACCCAGCCAGCGTACACTTGCTGTGTCTCTGCAGGAACATCCTCCAGCTCATCAATGCGTTTGACTTCCCTGAGCAGAGCATCTCCAGGGACGACTATGTTGCCGTCCTCATGCACCTGAATACCACCCAGCCCGAGAGGGTGGCCAGGCTCCCCCTGGAGGTTTGCCACCTGGAAGACTTTCTGGATAAGGTACCCGAGGGGCCTGGCCTTGCTCCAGGCAGCCGCAGATCTTCTCCAGGACCTGGCCCAGGCTGGCCTGGCGCTGTGAACAGAGGACTCTAGGCTGGCCCTGTGCCTCTGCAGGGCTGAGCTTCCAGAAAGACTGTGGCCTCAATGCAATGTGTCCGACAGGGCCCTGCCCAGGGGGCTGGAGGCCAGGCTGACCCAGGAGACTGGGTGTTGCTGGTGCACAGAGCTGGGGGGGGGGGGGCAGAGTCTGGGTCACAGAGCTGGGCTGTGGCCGGAGTCGGGCGGCTGCCCAGGAGCGAGGGCAGCTGTGGACCCCTGGCTATGGGGTGATTCACCTGAGCCCAACACCCCTGGGCCTACGGTCACCTGCCAGCTGCAGGGTGTTAGGGGAAAGGTTCTGTTCCCCCGGAGGCACATCTGTGGCCTGTGGTGTAGCCAGAGAGGGCAGGGCCACCACCTTGCCCTGGTGCCGGTGGTGGGGAGGGCGTCCGGTGCGTGTCACGCTGCGAGGGCCGCGTGCGCTTATGTTTCAGAGTGCCTCCGGCACAGGCCTGGCCTTCATTGTCTTCACGGAGGCCATCCTCCACATGCCGGGGGCCCCCGGGTGGGCCGTGCTGTTCTTCGGGATGCTGTTCACCTTGGGCCTGTCATCCATGTTCGGGAACATGGAAAGCATCATCACGCCATTCCTGGATATGGGGATCATGCGCAGATCCGTCCCCAAGGAGGTCCTGACCGGTGAGTGGACGCCCAGCCCACCTTGTAGGCCTGTCCTCCCTGTCTGCCCACCTCCTGCCCTTCCTCCATGAGCGTCCCAGCGGGAGCCTGGGTCTGGTCTCGTCACCCCCAGCACCGGTCCTGGCAGCTCTGCCCTAACTCGGCATCCCACGAGGGCCATGGTGGGAGACCTCGGGGTCGGGCAGGGGCAGAGCCCACGGACAGCAAGCCCCCATCGTGCGTCCTCCTGCCCTGGACACAGTGCTGGGAGGGCCGGAGGAGCAGGGTGACGGGCTCCGACGAGGGGGTGCCGCCATCCCTCCAGGCCTGGTCTGCCTGTTCTGCTTCCTCTCTGCGATCTGCTTCACGCTCCAGTCGGGCAACTACTGGCTAGAGGTGTTTGATAACTTCGCCGCCCCCCTGAACCTCATCATCTTCGCCTTCTTCGAGGCGGTCGGGGTCGCCTATGTGTACGGGATGCGCCGGTGAGTGTGCGTCTGTCTCCTCAGGGCCCCGCCCTCCTGCTCCCCGCACCCTGAGTGTCGCGGCAGTGGCTGTCCTGGCCCGCACAGGATGCGGCAGGACTGTCTGAGCCCCTCCCCAAACAGACCCGGGGCAGCTCCCCGCGGCCCAGGACCCGGCCCCACCCGGCGGCACGGGCCTCCAGCTTGTGGTGGCAGGCGGCAAGACTGCCAGTGTCCAGCCACGCAGGGCAGAGTCCTCAAGCCAAGGACAGGTGGACACTAGGCCACTGCGGGGCCCTCCTGCCCTGACCCCGTCCTGGAGGCCTCTGAGGAGGCCCAGCACGGGTCCTGCCCATCCCCCCTGACTCTGGCCCAGCGCACACCTGGACTCACCACTGCTCCACACCTGCCATCTCTGTCACTCACATGTCACACCTGTGCTCACACCTGTGTTCACACCTGTGCTCACACTTGTCACCCATGCCTGTCACACCCGGGCTCACACCTGTGCTCACACCCATCACACCCGTGTTCACTTCACACCTGTGCTCACACCTGTCACACCCATGTTCACGTCACACCTGTCACACACACCTGTCACACCCGTGCTCACACTTGTCACTCATGCCTGTCACACCCGTGCTCACACCTGTCACACACACCTGTCACACCCGTGCTCACACTTGTCACTCATGCCTGTCACACCCGTGCTCACACCTGCATTAACACCCCTGTTCACACCTGTCACACACACCTGTCACACCCGTGCTCACACCCATGCTCACACTTGTCACTCATGCCTGTCACACCAATGCTCACACCTGCATTCACACCCATGTTCACACCTGTCACACACACCTGTCACACCCGTGCTCACACCTGTGCTCACACTTGTCACTCATGCCTGTCACACCCGTGCTCACACCTGTCACACCCATGTTCACTTCACACCTGTGCTCACACCTGTCACACACACCTGTCACAGCGTGCTCACACCTGTGCTCACACTTGTCACTCATGCCTGTCACACCCGTGCTCACACCTGCATTCACACCCATGCTCACACCTGTCACACATACCTGTCACATCCGTGCTCACACCTATGCTCACACCTGTCACACATACCTGTCACATCCGTGCTCACACCTGCTTTCACACCCGTGCTCACACCTGTCACACCCGTGCTCACACCTGTCACACTCGGGTGGGCCAGCCCGAGCCCAGTATCTCTGTGACAGGTTCAGTGATGACATAGCCTGCATGACCGGGAGGCGGCCTGGTCTCTACTGGAGGCTGACCTGGAAGGTTGTCAGCCCGCTGCTGCTGCTGAGCATCTTCGTGGCCTACATAGCTGTCCTGGCCTGGACACCGCTGAGCTACAGGGCCTGGAACACCCAATACGTAGGTCCTCCGGGGGTTGCTAGGAGGCACCTCGGGCCCGGCCTGGTCCTTCCCTGGTGCCATCCATGGCCCAGATGACATCCTAAGTGACCCTGTGGGCCGCCAGACCTCCAGGGTCCCCTGGGGGCAGCAAAGCCAACCCTGGCAGGGACCTTGGGCAAGGCCTCAGTGGCAGGAGGACCAGAGCAGTTTCCAGGTCCCAGGAGCAGCTCACCCAGGGATGTGGCCTCGAGCCACACTTCCCACGTGCTGTGGGGCTGGCCTGCAAATGCCCACTCCTGGTCTGAGTCAGGGAAGGGGTGTAGGGTGCATGTCACCAGGCTGCCACTGAGCGTGGTCAGAAGAGAGGGGGTGCAGCTCAGTCCCTGCTGCTGGCCCTTGTCCACTGGGCTGTGCCCTGAGCTGCGGGGGCCCCGCCACCCTGCTACCCAGTGGGCCCCCCAAACCTTACCTGTGCTGCTGCCCCTTCTCGGGAGCAGTTCCAAGTCCTCCTCAGAAAGGGGACTGGCCCCATCACCAGCGGTGGGTGAAGGAGGAATGGCGCCATACTTCTCAAGAATTTTCATGAATACTGTCCTATCACGTTCACACACTGGTGCCTCACGTTGACCTCAAAAGAGGTGCCTCAAGTCGGGTGGGTGGTGTCACCCCCTCTTACAGAAATGGGAGTGGGGCACGGGGCCCAACCTGCCCCACAGGCCAAGCCAAGGCAGCCCCCGAGGCCGTGCGGCCCCTCAGGGTGGTGGGAGGCACTCTGTAGAATGCCCCGAATCCCAGGCTTGTGTCTCAGAGCCCCAGCCCCACCCCTGAGAGGCTCAGCCCCAAACCCGAACCTTCAGGGCCCCGTTTCCTAACTGCCAGCACCCACCGTGGACTTATTGAACCCTGCTGCTTCATTTCAGGAAGAGGCAGGGTGAGGCTGGCCCACGCCGCTTAGTCCCTACGGCCAAGGGTCAGCCTCACCTGCCCCTCCCCCCAAGGCTCACCTGTGACCTCCTGTCCTTACAGGCACGGTTCCCTTCACGGCAGGAGAAGTCCTACCCGGGCTGGGTGCAGACCACGTGCGTCCTCCTGTGCTTCCTGCCCTCGCTGTGGGTCCCAGCTGTGGCACTGGTCCAGCTGCTCGCCAAGCGCAGACGGAAGCAGGACCCCTGGCAGGACAGGTGCCTGAAGCTGCAGGACAGAGGGGCCAGCTGAGGGCCGGGCGGGGGGGGGGGGCAGGGCAGGGACGACCAGCCTGTGTGCCACTTGCTCACAGAGAGCGGGACCCCATTACACACTTGGTCCAGACCCTGACCTGGAGCTGCTGCTTCCCAACGCCACTGCACTCCGCAGACCCTGCCCCTGGCACAGCCCAGCTCCGTCAGCACAGGGCACGCTGTCCCTCCAGATGGGAGAGAGCCTGGGGTCCAGCCCCCGGGGCCCTGCCCTCTGCGGCACAGCACGGAGCTGTCTGGGGCCTGGACGCTGCGCCCAGCTAGTCCATCTGTGGGCAGAAGGGCAGGCGGGCCCAGAGGCCCAGGGGCCAGCAGGGCAGCCTCCGAGGAGGCTCACATCCACGCCCGCTGCAGCTGGGGGCTGGCGTCACCAGAGCTGAGGGACTCTGAAGGGTGATCTCCAAGGGAAAGTGGAGGCTGTCCTCTCGGAGAGCCGGAAGGGAAGCCCCTTTCTGTGCTGAGAGCACTCGGGCATGGGCAGGCTCTGCTGGGACCTGTACTGACCCTCTCAGGCAGCAGGAGCCCGGGTCTGTGTCGAGGCCCAGGCCTGGGCAACCCCGTGTGCGGGAATCCTCACCGCACCTGCAGCCTGCCCACTCCCGCCCTGGGACGGGTACCCCCTGCGTGAGCACAGGCAGGGGCTGGGGCTTGGCCAGCATCACCACGCGCTGGCACTCTCCTGACCTCACTGCTGAGAAACACCACTCTTTGTTTTTTAAAAATTTTCTCAGAGACTCAAACGTGGGTCAAGAAGGTACAAAAAGGCTAATTCTCAGATTCCTACCATCTCCAAAGGAGGGCTGTCACTCACTCCACACCAAGCTCTCCCGCAGCCTCAGTGGAGGGGTGCCTCCTCACCCAGCTCCACCTGCCCTCCTGCGCACCCCTCCCTCCCCACTCCTCCATCCGTCCATCCATCCATCTCCTCCCTCCTCTCCCTCCCCCCCACCATCCAACCATTTCCTCCCTCTCTGCCTCCTCCCTCCCTCCCTCCCTCCCTCCATCCACCATCTCCTCCCTGCCCCCCTCCATCCTCTCTCCCTCCTCCGTGAACCAGGGGTCAGGTCTAGGGTGTGGGCCCCGACACACAGGCTTGCTTCTGACTTGCCACTGGAGCCCGTGTATGCCCTTCATGCTGCTGGGATCAGACCCTGCGAAGACCCAGCGACCACTAATCCCCAGCGAGACAGACGCTGTCCAGGGTGCTGAAAACCCCCGGAGGAGCCCGGTCCCGGCATGCCTGGTGGGGCTGTCCTGGTCACAGGCAGCCCAGACCCCAGGAAACAGAAGCGCCTGCACTACTGTGTGCTAAGAGGAGCTGGGTATTAAAACGGAGTTAGCCCAAGAGCGCCCCCGAAGTGTGCCCCAAGCCCCATGGGCAGGGTGGGTTCTGCACTTCAGCCCCATGCTCCGACACCCTTGGTTCGTGGCCCCTTCCTCCACTGAAAAGCTAGCAAGGCCAGTGAGTTTCTCACCCGTGTCTCTCCGACACCCTCTCTTCACCCTGTGATGACCCTGGGTGCACCTGGATAATTCAGGATGAACTCCCCATCTCAAGGTCAACTGACTAGCTACCTAATCCCACCTGGACCTATAATTCCCCTTGGCCATGTCAAGTAGTACTCCCAGGTTCTGGGATCAGGACGTGGGTGCCTTTGCGGGGGTCATTATTCCACCTCTCACAGAGCCCTGGCAATTCTGAGCCCACCCAGGTTTGGCAAGCCCTTTAGTGTGAGCACCCGTGTGTCCAGGTGCAAGCACACGCCTGGGGGATGGCAGGTGGGGGAGGGGCAGGAACTGGGGCTGGGCGGCGGGGCGTAATCACTCAGCACTTTGGGAGGTCCAGGGGGCACCATCTGTGCCTCCTCTTAAACCACTCATCTTGAGCTCCACCCGCTGCCTACACTTCCGCAGAACACATCCGTAAATGAGCTTTCTAACGTGCAGCTTAGATCAAGGAAAACCCGGAAAACTAGGTGTTTTCCTTTGCTTTAAAAATCTTATTTTCACGTTTCACCTGGAGGAGGTTTGGCCGTGCACATACTGGTTTTAAGGAGATGAACCAGAGTTTTCAGTGAGTTGAGCCTGACCAAGCACCCCGTCTTTTCAACGGTTTAACACTTCAGTAAGAATACGCGATCCTGAGTATAATGCCGACAGAATGCCTCTACCAGAGAAGCAAGACTCTGGAGCTCTTGGAGGACAGATGGCTGAGCGGCTGACCTCTAGGGTCTGGTCTGTGATGGAAATGCCAGGAACGGGCCCGTGGGCATGTGAGCAGGCGGGAGCCAATGGTGGGTCAGCTCGGGCGCCTGGTGTGGGGTCCCGGCGGTGTCCCCGCGGTTCTGTCGGCCCCAGCAGGGCAGGTCAGTCCTCCCTCTGGTTATGACAGCGCGGGCACCACTGCAGCCGGGCTGGCATGTGGGTTGGGCGGGGCCTAGTTCTGCACTGCTCAGCTCGGGTGCCTTTATGGCCCGCTCCGTGGACTTGGGTCTGCCATAAACGTGTCAGCTCAGTCCCTGGGACATTCTGCACAGCAACAGTAAACAAGGCAATATCCATAAACCCTGACAGGAGATGCACTTGCGCCCTGAAAATTTCGGCTGCATTAGCACCACCCCCATCCAAGGCACACTGGATGGCATCCCGCCACACGTCATGTGGCCCCATCAGAGACATCCCGGAAGGAAGCCTTCCCGCTATCACAGGGGACAGGGCAGACGGCCAGCTCCCTGACGGGGCCCTTTCTTCACAGGCTACACCCCCTTTGGGCTGCTCCCCTCCTGCTCTTTGTGCATCCTTCCAGGTCTTCCCACTTGCTCAAGGACGTCTGTCCAGCACCCTGCATGGCCCCCCCATGCACACCACAGCCCCGGCTGGTGGTCTGGATGGGTATGCAAGTGTCCCCCGCACATGGGCTCATCCTCAACCACGACCAAGCCAGGGCAGAGCTCGGCCTGTCATCCTGACAAAGCCTGCAGCTGCATGCACAGCACATTCTGTCCGGGGCACCTCAAAGGGGCTACTAGGTGAGGCTCTGGCCAGGGAGGCCAAGGGCCCTAAGCGGGCCTCTTGACCCTCCACGAACTTTGGCCACTTCCCTGGTGGCCGTCCCCCACAACCTTGTCCTCTACCCACCTCCAAGCTCCTAACCCTGACCTTGGAGTCACCACTGTCTGCTGCGTCCCTGGGGCCGCTGCTCAGGACAGCCCATCCTCCCTGCGGGGGAAGGGTTCTCAGCGTGGGGTCCCCCACCCCACCAGCAGCACCTGGAACTCCCTAGAAGTGCGAACCCCAGGCCCTTCCCCAGATTTGCTGAAGCAGAAGTCTGTTGGCGGGGGGGACACCTTTGCTGTTCAAGCCCCCAAAACAGCTTAGGCTGACATCTGCCATCTCATCTCCCAGGTCACCCGTGAGCCCCCTGCCTCTCCCAAAAAGTTGTCGGGGCCACCCTTCTGCTGCCCAATCAGGCTGACCCCCTCTTGCCACAACCTGTGGGGCCTCAGTCCCCGAGATCCTCAATCTAGCCCCCGCCAGAGCCGCGACCTGTGACCCTGAGTACCACACCCAAACCTGGCCCTTGCTGCGGCCTCTGCTGTCCCCCAGCCTGGGGGGCTCCCAGGTGCGAGAGCAGGATCCCCGCCGGCTGCCCCGCTCAAGCAGCTCCGCCTGCAGAGCCCATCCCCACACCTGCTCCAGGCCCAAGTGCTGCTGCCGAGGCGTCTGCTCGCCACGAGCACGGCGCCGGAGTTCAGCTAAACAGGAATGAAGCAACCCTACCGTGGTCAGGATGCAGCATGGGGGAGGGGCAGGGCCATCCCTGGGAGTCCCCAGGTGATGGAGGGGACAGATGGGTGCAGGTGGGCAGGCACATCCACCTGCCCAGGTCCAGAACACAGAAGCAGGAGACCAACAGCCCGGGGCGGTGGGGGGTGGGCAGGGCTGGACGTGGGGCAGCGAGCTACCACCTACCTCCCAAACCCCTGTATCACGCCCCCACTGCCCACTCCAAGGAACTCTCCAGAAGGAGATCACCTGGACACTGTGAAGCCAGAGAAATGTGCTTAGGAGGGAATCCAGTGTTCTGGGCCTCAGGCCCTTGCTGCCCACACCCTTCCAGAGTCCACAGTAGGGCCAGAGTTAGCTGTAGACAGGGTGGGTGCTAGGCAGGGCCTTCTGGCCCACTGCCCAGCTGCACCTGCCCTGGGGGGGTGCCCTTTCCCAATTCCCCCTCCCGTCCTCACATCCCTGCCCCAGGAAGACCCCTGGGATCCCCCCCAGGCCAAGGACCCCGCACATCACGTGTGGACACAGGCGCGGGTGTAATTATGGAAAATGGTATGCATGCCTCACGCAGGATGCGTTTTAATACAAACATGGGAAAATGGAAGCCTCTAAGAGCAAAGGCTTGGCGTGTTCCTTCCATGGCTCCCCAGGAGTTACCGGGGGCAGCAGGTCCAGTGGGGGAGGCCATGCAGAGGAGTGCCACCAGGATGACCCAGGGCCACTGTGTGCAGAGCAGGGACCAGCGGGGAAGAGTCAGAAGTGGGGGTGGCGGCAGGTGGGGTGGGCCAGACACTCAGGCTCCAGGAGGCCAGAGCGGGGTGTGGGGGGCACAGGGCGAGGTCCCAAGGATGGGCGGGGATGGGTCTAGAACAGCTGACTGGACCTTAGCTTCTGGGAAAAGCTCAACGGGACACAGACTTTGGATGCGGCGCGGGGACGGCCAGGGGCGGGCGGGGACAGTGCAGGCCTGGACAGGTAGTGGGAAAGAGCCACACCCACTACCGAGCACGCTCAGGGACACGTGTGCAGACTGGGGCAGTCCCCAGCGGGGGTGACAAAGGTCCAGACAGACTGGACACGCCAGCCTGGTGCTCCTGCCTGCCCCCTCCTGGCGGCCAGTGGCTGAAGGACACAACCCCGATCACAAGAGGGTGCTGGGTGGGCTCTCCTCCCCGAGGACATGGGGGCTGACTT